TGGGGCTGACATTCTATTCTATGGGTTGAGGAGTCAGCCAAGGTAAGAACTTACAGTGACAATGCAGTCTGTGCTGTGGGGAGGCCGGGTGAGAAGGAAGAAGAGGCGGGGATGACTGAGGGTGATAGCCAGGCAAACACAAGGTCAAGGGAAGGTTTCTCAGGCCAGTGTAAATGCTGAGCAAAAGCAACCAGTGGAGCAATCAAGTAATCCAATTTGATCATGTCTGTCCTGGTTTTAGCACTGAAAGCCCCACATCCTGGGAATCCTTACAGTCCTGGGAAAACTAGGAAACAGGGAGGGTTGGTCACCCTTTCTCCCCCTTCCAGAGAAAGGTTCCAGTATAGAAAAGGAGGGAGGAAAGATGGATGGAGATGGGTGGCCCTGGCAAAGACCGGTTATAGGTGCAGAGAAATTAGTAGGAGGCCTCTGCTGTCCCTGTGAAGGGGCAAGGTCACTTGAGGGAGTGAAATGGGGAGGAGGAAGGTAGTCGGGTGCTGAGGAATGCTGGGCACAGCTGCCCTGAGGCCTTGCCTGTGTAGGGGCATTCACCACAAAGTGGTGTGTTTCAGCAGACCTGTGGCCCCATTTCCATGTACTGCCCATCTCTCTCTGTAATGTGTCTCCTGTCTGTCTCTGCAGTCCCCACCCTGTGAAGCCTCTCAGTGCAGCCCCTGTGGAGGGCAGCCCTGACAAGAAGCAGTCCCGCTCCAGTCTGAGCACAGCCCTGAGCAGTGGGCTGGAGAAGCTCAAGACAGTCACATCTGGCAGTGTTCAGACTGTGGCTCCGGCACCCCAGGTTGGCCAGACTGTGGATACCAAGAGGCTGAAGGTGAGACCCAGCAGGATGCCAGCGGGCATCAGACAAGACCAGCGGTGCTGTGAGGTCAGGAATAGAGCACTGGGCAGGGCGGAAGAAGGAGCTGGAGCCCCGAGGCCAGTTAGACCACCTCTGGCATTAGAGACAGAGGCAGCGGGGCCTGTGGTGGTGCAGCTGGAGTGTTGGTGGGCACATAGGCCTGAGGGTACCCTGCTCACTGTCATTCCATCTGGCCTCAGGATTCAGGTGTACTGGACCAGTCGGCCAAGTACTATCATCTGACCCACGACGAGCTCATCGGCCTGCTCCTACAACGGGAGCGGGAACTGAGCCAGCGGGACGAGCACGTGCAGGAGCTGGAGAGCTACATTGACCGGCTGCTGGTGCGGATCATGGAGACCTCACCCACACTGCTGCAGATCCCCCCTGGCCCCCCCAAGTAGCCTTCTTCACCCCCACTTCCCAGGAGGGTTGGCGTGGACCCTCTGCCTAGACAGGGCTCACACCCTCCCTACTGAACTCACTCACCTGGGGCAGGGTGCGGGCTGTCCTCTGTTGTCACCCCTTGCTCCCTCTTCCTCCTGCCTCAACTGAGGCTGCTGGAATGGGGGGCCTTTGGACTCCCATTGGAGATGGGTCACTCTATTTTCATACCCCTTAGCTTTGGGGGCTCCAGGAATTGGAACAAAGAATTTAGCCCTCAAGACGGAGCAGGGGTGAGCTGCAATTTGATGTGGTATCTGAGACATACTTTATTACCCCACAGGGATGGTCAGCCATTTCTTCCACAGCTAAACCCTTGTCTTCTTCATCTCCCTCCAGCCCCTGGGGGGCTCCTAGTATTAGTATTACAGCTGTGGCAGAGACCAAGCTGCTCATTTGTCTGTGCATTATGGGCAACCAGGGCACCTACTCTTCAGCCTCATGTCCTTTCCCCTGAGAGCAAGGAACCTATATGGTCTAGTGTCGTGTCTGCTGTGTCCTGAATCTGTCCATTTCCAGCTGTTTCTGGAGCGACTGCAGTGCGGATGGAGGGAGATGATATGTATTTTTCAGGTCACTCCCTGCCTTCCTCTTCTGATTTTTCCATGAGTGTCACATGTGACTATGTGGAGAGCTGGGGCATGTAGGGGGATAGCACCTCCTTACCCACTTCCAAGGTGTGGACCCCTCCAGGCCTCTGGGCTTTGGATGGCTTACGTTTGGGAATCAAACCTCCATTCCTGTTCTCGTTGCCCATCCAGATGTCAAAACTCTGTGCTGCTACAGGGTTTGAACTTGGAAACAGATTAAAATGTGCCTTTTTGTGGGTGGGATCAAAGGCCTCTGGATGTAGGCCCCACCCCTTGTTTGGTATGCTCCCCGCCCTCCCTCCCCACCACCCCAACACATGGGGCTGGATTTGGCAGCGCCCTGGGATGAGAATGGAGGATGGGGCAGCTGGGTTTAGCTGTGTGTTCTGCCCTCCCCTAGAGATAATTTCAATTAAGGATCTGACCAAGCTGCTGCTGTTCCCTTAACCTTCCTGTTGTCTTCTCTTACTCTCTCAACCCCAATTGAGGGGGGTCCTAGGAAAGAAACTACATTCTGGAAGTGGGAGGTCACACTCTGCCTATGCTTAGGAGAAGGACTTTGTTGTCCTCCCATCCATGCACTATCTGCTGTCCCAGCCTGTCCCTTCTGCTCCATGGCCTTGCCTGGCTTGGCTGCAGTGCACTTTGCAACGAAGTCTGTCCTTTAGCCCAGCCCTGGTTTGCTTTCAGAAAACACAGTAGGCTTCCCCAGGGCATCTTCAGGGGACCTTTGGTGGCTTGGGGTACCCTGCCTTAGCAAAGTTGTGGGGAGGCTACTTTTGACCCAGTGAGGAGGTGAGAGCTCCTTTTGAGATGGCCTCTTCTTCATGAGTGGGCCTGTGTGGTTACTCTGTGGGGTTGGAAAGCCTTGGAAGGAGATGTGCTCTGTGGGGGGATGTCTTCTGCCAGGATGAAGCGGAGGAGCCCCACATAGGGGGGAAGCCCCTATAACATTATCTACCTTAAGGACCACTCATCAAAGTGAGGAAAGTGTCCACAGGTACCCAGGACTTGGGTCATTGGTCATGTTCTTTTGGGATCATTGGGAGTTGGATGGGTGTCTCTTCTGGGGGAAGGGAGTCACTCTTCTACTAGGTATTCCTCTGGGCTCTATTCAGCCCCAGCCCTGACCCTCACTTTCCATTCATCCTTGATTATGGGCCTCTAAAATTCCCAGGTCGGGGATGTCTTTGAAATAGTTTGAAGTCGAAGCCCAAGGTTCTCATTGGACATTTCTGTTCCTGGGCACATGTTGGAGGAGGGCTGTGGATGGGGTGGGCAGGGAGCAGGCACAGTTCTGCTTTGCCCTTCGTCTTCCTAGTTGTAACTCCTGTTTATAAAAAGCTTGTTCTTCATGTTTTGAGCACTTTATGAAGAATAAAAAGTTCATAGACTGCAGGTGGCTCTGTTGTGTTCCTGTTTTGATGAGCATGTGAAGGAGGCTTCCTGGGGGAGAAGGCAGGTAATTGGATTTTTGGATGACACTGCGCCTGAACTGACATCTGGGCAGCAGCACTCAGCCTTTTCTCACTTCCAGGGTACCCACATTGATTGAGTACGGTTGGGAATACAGAGGGTAGTAAAAGATCCGATACCTATTCTCAAGCCACTTAGTTTAGTAGGGAAAGATAGGATACAACTCCAAGACACAAATGGTTCTTCATGGCTAGCTAGAATGTCTTTTCAGCATTAGGGAAAGTCTGTTTCTTGTGGTTCGACCATTGGTGGATGAGGAACTGACTGCTACAGATCATGCGTTCAGAAAGACATGGGCAGGCATGAGCTCACCCTGCCCTCACCACAGGACTAAGGAGATCCAAAGTGGGATTCCTTAGGGTCAAAACCAAATATTTCTCCTGGGTGCAGCAGGCAGCATCCCCTCCTCTTCCCCCAGTGTGTTTATTATCCCTGCTTGTGTCCTGCTCTGCCATCTGCACTGCTCCCCCTTACCTAAAGTCCTTGTAGTACTTGATACTACTGAACCCCACTCGCCACTCTCAGGTCTCTTCCTGCCTAGGAAGTAGGCCCAGGAGTAGTGATCTTCCTTGGTTGGCCAAAGGAAGTGGAGGCTGCCAAGTCTCCTAAGCTCCCTCTGTTTTACTCACACAGTCAACAAATATTTGAGTCTCTGCTGTGAGTACTCCCATGTCTGGTACTGAGGACTAAGAAGCGAATCCAATAGTCACAACTCCTGCCCCATGGACCTTGTAGTAGGATTTACTTACTCAAAACCATAAATAATAAATGCAAAGGGCTGCAAAAGAGAAGTGCTGGGTGCTGTTGGGGCATGTGGTGGATTTTGTGGAAGTAGAGCGATGGATTGGGAAATGAAACGATTAGGCCGAGGCCATAAAGAGAGCCAGCGTCAGGAGAAGATAAAAAGTGTCTTCTGGGTGCAGAATGTTCAAGGGGCAGGGGTGCGGGGCGTCCACCATACTTCAGGAATTGTGACAGAAAGGCTGGAGAGCACAGATGAGTGGCAGAAGAAACTGCATGAAGATTCCGCAGTGCAACTCCGCAGAAATCCTTCGGAGATGAACCCTGCTCCGCCTGGAGTCCTTGCGCATCTGAAACTGGTCCCAGGTCGGACCTGCTTAAGTAGAGCTCTTTTCCTGGGCTGCAGTTCCACGAGCAACGCTCACCGCAGCAACTCGAACTTCTAAGGGCAGGTAACCAGCGAGGGGTCACCCCGTGGGCTCCTATCGGGACCTCAGAGTCGTACACGCACTCTCTTCCCAGACTGCCGAACCTACTAATACTGAAGGTGGGAACAGAATCCAGGTCTGAGTCGGTGCCACTCTTCGCAGTCTAGGGTCGTCAAGCGTCGTGACAAGGAAAACTACACTCCCCACAACCCCTTGCGCCTCTGGCTCGCTGCGGTTGCTTATGGCCAATCGGGAGAGGCAGCTGTGGCGGGGGCCGAGGAGGGACATTTTAAAAGGGCCGGAGATTGCGGGCGTCAGTGGCCATGGCGGATACAGCGACTACTGCATCGGCGGCAGCGGCAAGTGCCGCTAGCGCCTCGACGGATGCACCTCCTTTCCAGCTGGGCAAACCCCGCTTCCAGCAGGTGAGGACCGGACTGTGGTCTGAGGGTTGGCGGGTGGCACAGGGAGGGCGAGCAAACTCCTCTCCTACATCCCTCTTAGCCCTAGGGTCTCCGACCCGCGGCCACCCGGAGCCTGCAGCTACTGGATGGGAGACCTCGGCCACAGCCTCTCCTTTTCCATTGGTCAGCGGGGTGGGGCGAGGACTCCCACCTTGGCTCCCTATTGGCCTTTGGCGCCGTCGCTCTGCGGCTGCCAGCGCCCTCCAGCCTTTCCCTCCCGAGGCGCTCTGTGATTGGCCGCTGCCGGCCGCGGCTGGCGATGCAGGGCCCCCGGGTCCCAGCGGCTGCTGCAGGGTTGCTTTGGGCTGTGCAGCCGCCCACTCTAGGCGGAAAGTTCGAGTCCGGCTCTGGGTGAGAAGTTGCCGTGAGAGAGATACCGTCTAACTTTTACCCCCCAGTGGGGACTGACAGTCTTTCCGAGCTGCTGGAGGAAATTCCAGGCAGCATCCGTGCCCCGCGGTCACGCTCCCAGCCCTCCATCCCAGCCGGGTCCACCGTGCCGCGATAGGTCAGGGCCATGAACTGAGGGCTGCCCGCGGCCCGGAGATCCTGGTCCCCTCCGGCGGTTGCTTCGCTGACGCAGCGAGTTTGCCGGCTGGTGCCTTGCTGGGGTTCGAGCGGAGACTTGCGGGCAGAGTCGGCTGCGGAGGAAACGCTGTGTCATTCGGGGCCGCGGGCCTCTGGGAGGGTCCAAGTGCCCGGGAGCCCCCTCCCCTGCAGCGACCTCCGCGGAGGGTCTCCGCACCCACGCTCTAGCGTCACGGAGCGCTCGGCCCTGTCCGAGCTTGGGTTCTCCGGGGCACGGTGACAGTGGTCCTTTTCTTCCGGGACCCCCGACAGGGCGTCGCTAACTCGTCCTTGTTCACGGAGACGGGGATCGAACCCGCAGCCCGGATATGAGACCGGGACTGGAGGCTGGGAGGGGCCGTTCCCACGCCGCGGGCCGCCGCATGTCCTCGGCCCTCGTTGCCGCCAGCGCCGAGGAAAAGGACTTTATTAGGAAAAGGGCAGAGACTTGGCTGAAGTAAACCTGGGCTTGCCTGGGGTGGGGGACAGCGGAGGCGGACAGAAAAGAAGTTTGCGGGAAGAAAGGAAATGTACAAAGGTCGGTGCGGTGGGGGTTTTTTTGTTCTGTTTTTGGTGGTGGTGGTGGTAGAGAAACTGGTTCCAGCAAGGTTATGTACTATGTTTCATTGATAATTAAGGAGCTGTGCTCCTGAGCCTTCTGAGATGTTCTCATTGTTTTAAAAGAGGATTTTAATTCCTTTAAAAAGTAAACCATTTCAGTATGTAGGTGTTTGAGGCGAGACTGGAGTCTTCCTGCCAGTGTAGGGTGCCAACTAGGGCGAGACTGTCAGGGGTGCCTCTGCTTGGACTTGAGTGACCCTTCAATGGCTGTCCTTCTTTCAAGTCCTCCACGCATTCCACTCATCTGGCAAGGCTTAGTCAGGCGCACATCCTCTCCCACGCTGCTACTCCCCACTCCCACCGTGACATTATTCCCTGGTGAGACCAGGGCACTGACTCCTTCCTACCTACCTCTTTGGCCACCCCAAGTGGGACCTTATAGGTCAGCCTGCCCTATGGTCCTCTAATACTCCTCTGTGTGATTACTTGGTCTCAACCCTTTTGAGAGAAAGGGCTGATCTTTGCCCTTCCATTGTCTCCATATTACCCCGAGGCGGGGCTAGACATATAGTGATGTGCTGAATAAAGATTAGTGGGGTGTTTTTTCTGGTACCTGTTCTGGAACATTAAGTTGCATAACACGTTTATCGAGAACTTCCAAGTAGACTAAGCCCTTTGCTGTGATCACCACTGGAGCCATAAATGCACATTTGAGATCACTCTGTTCCAGCAGTCATTGTTGGCATCTCTTTGGCACCGCCCTTGAGGGCAGTAAAAGTGTTTGTTGTATTTGCTTTTGAAGCGCTCCTCCTCGAGCATAGTGACCTGCATAAAGCACAGTGCATGTGATTCATCCATGTTAAGGAATTTCTCTTCCCTGCAAATCTGTTTCTACCACACTACTCCCAGCAGTGCAAGCAGCCCAACCTGCCACCCAGTTGACTCCCAAGAAACCTGGAAGTTGTCTTTTTACTTCCCTGCCTCTCCCTCACCCTCTAAGTACAAGCAGAGGTCCAGTGTTCTCATCACTTAAGTAGCTCTCAAAAATCTACCAGTCTCCACTGCCAGATTCCTAGACCAAACCACCATCATCTGTCTCTGAGCCACTGCAGAAGCTTCCTAACAGGTCTTCCTGCTTCAACTCAGGCCCCCTTCCAATCCCTTCCTCTTCTGCATGGCAGAGTCCCAGTGCAGGTCTGATGGGGTGACTCCCCGCCACACACACACACACACACACTAAAACGCCCTCCAGTTGCTTCCTCTGCTTCTAAGCTGAAGACTTCACTTTTAAAGAGGCTTCAAAGATCTGCGTGGCCCACCCCTGCTGACCTTTTCTTTCTCGAATTGAACCCCCACCCACCCTCTCAAACCCACCTTTTCTTCATACTGGCTGCTTTCAGCCCCTTGAACCCTGGGTGATTCATAATCCAAGATCCATTCCCAGAACCTACACCAATCTCATCACTTTCTGCAAGAATGGGCGCCAAGGTCTTTATCCCCTGGAGTCACCCCAGAACCCTTTCTTTCATCCTCAAGGATCTCCTTGTGTGCGAGGACAGGGAAGCAAGGACACTGAGCAGTGTCAGAAGGTGGAGACAGATAGCTTGCCTCGGTGGTCTGGTCTAGCCAAGCATTTTACCAGCCTTTCTTGTGTAATGATTTATGTAATTTTCACAACAACCCTGTGAGACAGGTACACTTATTTTTTATGTTATTGGTGAGGAAACTGCAGTACACAAACAAATTAACTAACTTCCTAGGGAATCTGGCTCCAAGGTCCAAGTTTGCTTGTTTATTGTTACCTTTTTTATTATGGGAGTTTCAAATATACGAAAGTAGAGACAGTCGTCAATGATTCCTGTGCACCTATCACTCAGCTTCATCAATTACGTCCCCACCTCCAACCAATGAATTACTTTTAGGCCAAACACAGACATCCCAGCATTTCATTATACCTGCTAGTAAGGTATCTCTAAAAAAAATAAAGACTTTTTCATTAGTTTTTTTTTTTTTAATTTTAAATTTTGGGAAAACTTTAGGTTTACAGAAGTCCAGAAGTTAACAGAATCCTGTATAACCCTCACCCAGTTTCCCCTAATATTATCAACTCATATTACCATGATACATTTGTCAAAACTAAGAAACCAACTTTGGAATATTACTGTTAACTACACTCCAGATTTTATTGGATTTCACTGTTTTTTACATAAAAAACATTTTTTTTTCTGTTTCAGGATCCCGCATTACATTTAGTTGTCATGTCTCCCTAGTCTCCTTTGGTCTATGACAGTTTCTCGGACTTTCCTTGTTTTTGATGACTTTGACAGTTTTGAGAAATACTGGTCAGATGTTTTGTCGAATGTCCCTCAGTTTGGGTTTGTCTAGTGTCTTCCTCATAGTTAGACTGGGATTATGGGTTTGGGAGAAAGAATATCACAGAAGTAAAGCGCCTTCTTTTTCACACAGTGTCAGGTTTTTTGATTAGTTTTAACATAACCACAGCACCATTAACACACCTAAACTAATTATTTTTTAATATCCTCAAACCAATCACTATTTGTCTTATTCTCTTTGGGCTGCTATAACAAAATACCATAGACTGGGTGACTTATAAACAACAGAAATTTCTAACAGTTCCAGAAGCTGGAGGTTCAAGAGCAAGGCGCTGCCAGATTTGGTGATAGCTTTCGGTTCATAGACAGCACCTCCTAGCTATAACCTTACATGACAGAAGGGTGGAGGGATCTCTCTGGGGTTTCTTTTATAAGGGCACTAACCCCATTCATGAGAGTCCCACCCTCATGACCTCGTCACCTTCCACAGGCCCCACATCCTAATACTACCACCTTGGGAGTCAGGATTTCACTATATGACTTTTGCAGGGACATGTTCAGTCCGTTGTACTATTTGCATTTTTTTATTGTCACATCATTTTTTAGATAATCAGTTTGTTTCAATCAGGACCCCAGAAGGGCCACATATTAAATTTGACTAATATGTCTCTTTTGTCTCTTCTAATCTACTGGTTCTACTTCCCTCTTTTTTTTATTTGTTGAGGAAATTTGATGGTTTGTCTTTTAGAATTTCTCTCATTCTCAGTGTGGCTGAAGGCATCTCTGTGGTATCAAACATGTTTCTCTTTTCCCGTAAATTTGAAGGCCATGCTTTTAACCACTGCCCCATTACCTAGTAAAGGTGAAAAAGACAAGACAGCACCCGGGGAAGCTCTTTTCTTCCCTTCAGGTTTGACACCATTTTTGGCAAGTCGAGGCCCCAGAACAGGAAACAGACACAAATGCTTCTTCCCATTTGTGTTTCAGTCTATCCAGAAATAATTTTTTTAAACTTCCTTGCTCCTTCAGAAGTCTTACTTATCTGCTAAGATGACTGAGGGTATGAGAGTCCTGTGGGTATGTTAAGGTCTGAAATTAGCTGAGACTCAAAGTGACAGAGCAGGTAGGTTGCATAGGGCTCCCTCTGGGGTATGGGGAGCTTGCTGAGCAGGAAAATGCACTCTTCACCCCAAGTTAGAGAGGTTTGTGTGGGCTGAGAGTCAGGATGCAGTGGGGAAAGTTTCTCATATAGTTTGCCTGAAATAAGTTCTAAAATGAAAATTGCCTTGCAGGTAGTTATGTGTTTTAATCTTTTACATCCTTAAGATAAGAGAGTGCCTGTTTCCCAGGGCTAGTCTTGGGGCTGGCTTATGCTATGGACAGGGTTAGTACCCTCTAGTCCAGTGGCTCTCAACCCATGCTGCATATGACTCACCTGGGCAGGTTATTAAACAGATGCTGATGCCTGGAGCCCACCCCAGGCCAATAGAATTTGAATCTCTGGGTGTACAGCTGGTTTTTGCAGTACCTGGGTGATTCAGTGTGCAGCCTTGCCCAGGGCTACTGAGTTGGTCCCGCCTTTCTGCCTTTGGGCTACAGGTTCAGTGAGTATTTTATTCCTAATCCAGAAGAGCAGTATTTTAGAGGTCTGGGTACAGGAGGGCTGTCAGTTCCTTCTTAGACCATTGCCCTCAGCTACTGCTCCCAAGGCCCACTCTACCCTGGGAGTGGTGGAGGTGGGAAGGCAGTGTGTGCTGTAGGCCCCAGACCCTGCTGAGAATTAGCTGACTCACCTTTCTTGTGAAGGGAAAAGGAAGGAATCACTTGGCTGACTCATTCTTTAGGTAAAGAAAAAAGGAAGGAAAAACATCCACTGAGTATCTGATTGGGTAAAGATGGCGGCTGAATTTTGGAGGGCAGGGTCGGGGGCGGGGAAGGCCATACATTTTAAACTATTGAGAAAATAAAAATCAATTGGACTGAGAAAGTAGAAACCTTCCCTGCCATTCATCAAGCTGAGAGGACAGGCACATAAAGCAGCTCTAAAGAGAAAGGGTTTTTCACAGGGACCAGCTGCAGCTAGAAAGTGTCCTAATAACCTCCTTCTTTGAGTCACTACTCTTTCGTACTTACTGAGAAATTGCATTCTCTTTTATAAGGGCACTAATGCCATTCATGAGGGCTGTACCCTCATATCTAATTGCCTCCCAAAGGCCCCGCCTCTAAATGCCATCACCTTGGACATTAGGATTTAACATATAAATTTGAGGGGGACACACATATTCAGTCTATAGTAATAACTACAGTATAGTTACTATATTTAGGAAATTTAATATGGATATAATACTTTTATTAATCTATGACCCACATTCTAGTTTTGTCAATTGTCTCAATTAATGACCTTGAGAATGTTTTTCCCCTCCAGTCCAGGATTCAGTCCAGAATCATGCAATGCATTTAGTTGTCTCTTAATTTCCTTTTATGTGGACCAGTTAGTTCCTCAGTCTTTCTTTGTCTTTAGACATTGACATATTTGATGAATAAGGCAGATTATTTTATGGAATGTCCTCAATCTGGGTTTGTGTAATGTTTCTTCATAATTAGATTCAGTCATTCCAGAATACTACGTGAGTGACATTGTGAACTTCTCAGGATATCACATACGGAGGCACACAAAGTCCATCTGCCTCTCATTGGTCCTTTTAACATGTCCCCATCATTTCGGGGGTTGGCACTTCATTACTTTCTGGCACAACAGAATGTATCAGTCTCATCTTGTACCTTTCCTGCCCCAGCCCTGGAACTGGCTATTTCTCTAAGGAGCACTGATTCATTTTAGTGGACCAGGATCTGGATGTCATTTTGTCTCTTTGCTCTCCATTTACTATCCATCTGGCTCTGTTTACCTCCTTGTCTATTAATTGGAATCATCCTCTTTATATGCATTTCACAACATCATAAGCATTTTCCATGTCATAAATGTTGTCTGAAAACATGATTTTAAATGGCTACATAGTGTTCACTCATATGAAGGGACTATCATTTGTTTAACCATCCACCTTTACAAATCATGCAGCAGTGAGCATCCTCAGCATGTTCCTCTGACCACACCTCTGAACGTCTCTGATTGTTTCCTTAGACTTAGATGTGAAATTTTGCCAAGACAACAGTGTGAGCATCGTGGTTTAGGCCATTTGAGTTATAAGAGGTTAGAAAAGCAACTGTTTTTGTTAGGAATGGTTCTGAAGCTTGATCCGGTCCGTGAAAGGCAGCAACTCCAAGAGGGTGGAAGTAGGGGGTGGAGAGGCTGCTCCTGGCAGGGAGTGTGTCACAGTGAGCAGAGAGATGGAGGCGGTATGGGGATTGGTGGGTGCAGGGGACTTCGAGGTGATTTGGGGCCTGTTTCAGGGTCTTTATTGGGGAGAGAAAGGAGCGGAAGTTGGCCTCAGCATCTGGTGGCCTAGTGAGCAAAGGAAGGGAGTGTGGAGGCTTCTGTTTCCTCCGCTGTGCAGAGGACTGTGCTTGGAGAGTTGTGGGGCTCCAGGGAGCATTTGCGGCAGCGCCTGGGGGTGTAGTGAGGCATGAACCCCCAGCATTTGCAGCTTTTCCCTTTGTCCCCTAGCTTGGCACCCTCTCTCCACCTCTTGAGCTTGGCTTTGCCAAGCTGGCTCCGTCTCTAGGGCAGAGGGCCCAGCAGCAGGGTTGTTTGGTTCCCTTTCATTGTTCTCTAGTGCTTGTGGCCTGCTTTGCACAAAGCCCTTCTTTTCCAGGGCCCCCCACTCTGGGATAAGGCCGGGAAAAAGCAAGCTCCTTGTTCTGAGCCTCACAGCAGCTCCAGGGCTATGGGTGAAGGGGGGCCTGAGGGCTGCAAGCTGGGTTTTCTGGTGCTTGAGCTCTGCCTATGGGGAGCTTGACCTTGGAGAAGGACCCTCCCTCACTCAAGAGGTCCTAAGAGAGGCAAGGAGGCTATGGTGGTGAGGGAAGGCTGGAAGAGGGTGGGTGACCAGACCTCACCTCCAGCCTATGTGCTTAGTGGTGGTTGGGAGCTGCCAAAAGACTTGGAGTAGATCTCAGGGCACTGGGGAAAAAGGGAGGAAAATGAGAAGCACCTTGAAGAGAAGTTGGACAGTCACTGAGTGTCTTAATGATCTTTCTGATTTGACATTAGAAAGCCCTCAGACCTGGGAGAGCTGCCCTCAGGTCACTGAGCAGTGAGGCCTCTTTGGTATTCATCACCCACGTGGGGAGTCCTGGGGACAATGGGACCCCAACAGTAGGGGTGAGGTGTGCGGTGGGGTTCCCCAGTGGCTGGAGGATGATCTACGGCAGCTGATCTACTCTTCTCTCCTAACCCTTTCTCTAGACATCCTTCTATGGCCGCTTCAGGCACTTCTTGGATATCATTGACCCTCGCACGCTCTTTGTCACTGAGGTAAGTCATGGCTGTCACGCTTGTGGAGAACTCTTGTCCTTTAGACTGTCACTTTAGAAGATCTATGGGTCTTCTCTGTATATCGTACACATTATCTCATTTCATTTAGATCTCACAACATGCTTTCAAGGTAGATATTATCATCATCATTTTAAACTTTAGTAAAATTATTGCCAACTATATGAATTACATGCTCATTACAAAAGTTCAAACAGTACAGATATGATTAAGTAGAACAAAAAAGTATCCTTTATACAATCTTCTTACCCAGTTTCTTCCTCTCATGGGTAATTATGGTATAATTTACTTTTTATATGTGAATATTCTATGAATTTCGACAGACACATTCAGCCATGAACCCACCACCACAGCAACAATGCAGAGCATTTCCATCACCCTAAAATGTTTCCTCATGCCCATTTGTGGCGAATCTCCCCTATCCAGCCTCGGCAAACACTTATCTGTTTTCTGTCCCTCCTGCCTCGCTATTTCTAGAATGTCATGTAAATGGAATTCTGTAGGGTGGAGCCTGGTGTGCCTGGCTTCTTTCCTTTAGCATAATGCTTTTGAGCTTCATCTGTGTCATTTCATGTATTGGTACTGCATCCTTTCTTGTTGCTGAGTACTATTCCATTGAAAGGATGTTCCAGAATTCATTTATCCATCCACTTGTTGATGAACACCTGGGCTGTTTCCATTTTTTTGGCTATTATAAATAAAATCACTACTAGCATTCTTTGTGTGGACATATGCTTTCATTTCTCTTGAGTGAATAACTGGAAACGGGATCACCAGCTCATATGGTAAGTGTGGTAAGTACATTTAATTTCATGGGAAACTACCTTACCTGCTCCTCTGGGCCAGACTGTCGTTCAGAGTGGCTCCATGTTTTACATTCCTATCCACAGTGTTTCAGTTGTTCCATATCCTCACCAACACCTGGTATTGTCAAATTTAAATGTATTAAGTGTATTTCAGCCATCCCAAGAAGTGTGTCTTTATAGCCTTTGTATATGTATTTACAAATGTGTGTAGGAGTGCATGCACATATAAAATAGCAAAGATTTATTAAGCAGTTTCTGTGAGCCAGGCAGTGTTGTAAGCATTTTGCATGCATCAGCTCATCAGATTAACTCAAAGTAACCCATGAGGTAGATACTATTACAAGTTCCATTTTGCAGATGAGGAAACAGACAGACAGAAGTTAAGTCTCATGCACATGGTGCTGGCCAGTGATGGAGCCAGGGTATGAACCCAGGTAAGCTTGTCTCCAGAACCCTTATTTTTAGCCAGTTTGTGTTCCCGTTCAGGTAACGAGTTTAGAGAATTCTTCCAAGATTACTCAGCTGGCAGAGTTCCCACCCTGGGCCCTGGCTATATACCTTGAGGCAAGTCACTGAGCCTCTGAGTCGGCTTTCTGAAATGACATCTTCTCTGTGCTGAGCACTGCCTTCAGTCAGCTCTGGAGTTGATCAGCCCTGGGAGAGAAAAACCACGGTGGACAGAAGCATAAGGCCCGCTGGGCACCTGGGCCTAGAGGCATCACCATTGTGCCTGGAGGAGCAGCCCAGTAACATGAAATGTGGAAATTAACCTGATATGTGGTTTCTTACTGCATCTCAGCAAGGACAGAGGGCTCGAGTATTTTTCTGGCAGCCTCTACCTGTCCTTCTGGGCCCACTGCTTCTTAAGGGCAAGGCTGTTGTTCTCAGTTCTGTCTGGATTCTCCTAAGGAGTTGTCAATTGGATCACATAAAAATTTGGAAGAGCATCAAACTAGAGAGACTACTTACCTAGCCTAGATTATGTGTCTTTCTAGAAAGTTACAAAATGGTACAGAACTAGATACAGTTGCAACATAAATCCCAATGTAAATGCTACCTGCTTGGTGGAGGAGTCCACAGAGGCCAGTGCTTAACTCAAAGGATGAAGATGCAGATGGCAGACTTTGAGGCATGTCGAGAGATGACAGAGGGAGATTTGGGAGATTGGGAAGTATTTCAGCACTACTCAGGTTACCCTGAGCTGGCAGGGGCTTTGGGGATGGATGGGCGGCTACAGGGCAGCATACTACCTGTGCCAAGGGGCTCACACCCTTCCTCCTCTCCAGTCCGACCTCTTCTCATTCCCAGACCACTTTGTTTTATTACACTCCTCTTGTACCACACATTTCTTCTTCAACTCTTGCACTTTGGAAGGTCCCAGCATTCTTGTATATCACTGAGCCATCGGGTCTAAATAACATCACTAAATACAAAAATCTCACACTTTACTAATAATTGAAATGTTAAAGCAACTTAACTATTTACTAACTAGAAAATCAAACCAATGTAACAGTTTTAGAGTATTTTTCAGATTTCATCTGTTCCCTCCCTCATCAAAGATTATGGTAGACTTCCCAGAAAGATCTTCACCTCCCCTCGCTAGGCCCCCCTTCCCCCACCACCTACACCCTCAGTCAGGGGCCCATTTCTAGTACTGCTTCCTGGCCTTTTGGAAAATTTCTGCCCACAGAAGATCTAGGCCCTAAAAGTTCTGCAAGAGCCATGAGTGGGGCCTTTAGGCTTTCACTAGTTCTTGTCCAGGTAGGTTGCTTAGCAAGGCAATCTGCATGGACATAATGAGAAATTAGAGGCACTGAGAGGAAAAGGTCTCACACTTGAGCCCCTCCCCGAGAACTGTGGCGCTACTAGGAGGGCCAGCCCCCAACTTCGGCTGGGCTCATAGACCGGGGCTTCTTCTATGGAACACTGTTTCTCTCCCAGGGCCCTTGGCTGGTGTCCTGGAAGGCAGTGTGGGGTGGTGGCTGCCCAGTCAGAGGACGGACCCGTCTGTCTGTGAGGGTGGCAGGATGGTGGAGGACGTGAGTGAGTGGCTCTGGAAACCAGAGTTTCCCAGAGGTTGAAAGATCCTGAGCAGCTCGAGCCATCTGGTGACCCAGTCCTGAGGGGCAGTAGCTGAGTCGATGGGTAGATTCATCCTGAAAGGGTTTTGCAGCTACTTGTCTGCAATTTATAACTGACCAAACTTTAAAAAGGTTCCAACCCTTGTATGTGTAATGAGGCGGAGGAAATTTTTTCACCACAATTTCTCTTAGGAAGAAGGCTGTCTTTGTTCTTTGAAGATCTTGAGTCAGGCTTCAAAGGAGGAGGTTGGTCTGCTTGACAGAAGGGGAAGAATTGTGCTTTGATCCTAAAGAAGAGAGGAGGGAGAAGGAAGAAGAGGGAAAAATAATGGGAGGTAGACAAGTAACTCGGTGAGCCGAAAGGCTGGTACCTGGGGCCTCTTTTGAGATGGGTCATGCCTACAACGCTTGTGAAAGTCATTGACATGCTGCACTATTGTCCTCTCCACCATCATTCCTGGGAAGTTGTCAGCAGTCTGCCTGGTTTATGAAATCTCTGCAAGAGTAGATTATTTGCAGTGGGGAGGAGCGGGGGGCGGGGGTGGCGGGAGATATTGAGGGGCTATGAGTCTCTGTCAGGGTGTAATTATTTCTGGGAATGAATGGTTGACAGATTATTACCCTGAAGGGTGTAGAAAACTAACTGAAATAGTGTTAATGACACCATCTCAATACTAGTGCTGGTGTAGTAATCTAAAACTATTTGGCTATATTATAGGATAGAATAAATAATTATACTGATGTTGGGAATTGGAGTTCTCACCGTGGGAGTAGGGAGATAACAGATATAGGGAGTGGGGGAAAAGACAGAGCACCATGTCATGTGTATTTGTATTGGGAGTATCAATATGAACTCGTAATTCACACACACGTACGTGCGTATTTCCCAATTTCCTGGCTCTGTTCACTGAAAAGGCCCAGAAGCAATGATACCCAGTAACGATGTAGCACTATCCACTAAAAGGAATCAGGGCTTCTTGGAGAATGGCCAGCGCCACACATCTGGGATAAGGAGAGTTGCTACAGAAAGCAAGAAAGTGCTCAGAGAATGATAGAGACACAGGAACTGGCTTGAAGGGAAACCCACTGGCCACATTTGGGACAATTTAAGCATTAAGAAGAATAAAAGCAATGGGTTATAACACATTGAGTAATAATAATAATAATGTCAACAAGTCCATAGTAATGCGAAAAATATGGGAGGGGGAAGCTCTTCTTCATTGAAGAATGTCAGCTTAATAAGTGTAGGAGGAAATAACCATTGTGAATCCTCAATGAAACCACTGGTTCCAACCAAGATCATCAATGGATGCTATTTCCATAGAGTAAAAGTTTGTTGGGAAACAGGATATTCATACGCTCTCAAACCAGTATCCCCTTGAAGATTACTTAGCAATTACAAAGGAGTAAAAATATCTTTACAATGAAGAGCTTAGAGGACATCCCTTTAACCAGGTGACCAAACTTACAATGAAAAAACTGACATGTGCCTTCTGATGTAATATGATTCTGGTATTAATCCCTAAATATAGGAAAATACATGAAAGTCTAAAGAAGAAAATATAAAAACTGCTCATTATCCCACTGTTAGCATTTTGGTTTATGTCTATGTACAAAATTAGGATGTTTATATAATATGTATACATATGTATATATGTATCTCTATCTATAGATATAATAGAATCATATGCTATATATATATATATATGCATAACAAATGTGCACATGATATACTTTTTTCCATGTACCATATCATTTGTCATTGAATGTTTCAAAATGTGTTTAATAACTGCATAGTAATCTACTGTGTGGTTATTCTGTAACTTCTTTAATCATTTTCTCTACTGTTGACCATTTGGGTGGTATCAAGTCTTTTGCCATTATAAATAATATTGCAGTAAATATCCTTGTACATAAATCTTCTCATCTTTCTCTTTATTTCCTTTGGATAAACTCCTAGAAGTGGAATTTCTGCATGAAAGGCATTTTAAGGCCTTTGAATGTATTGCCAAATTGTCCTGCAAATTGTACCAACCTGTAGTGAGATTATATCAGTTTATACTCTCAATAGCAGTGAGTGAGGGTGTCCATTTAA